ACCAACACCATCGTCACTTTGTTGAGGACTAAAAGACGACAATCCCGGAGACTCTGGTGTTGGTTGTCCATCATATGGAACGTCGGACTCGGAAGAGTCATTGAGTGTATCAAAATCCCGACGACGAGATCGTGGTTGAGACACATTATCATCAAATTTTCCAAACTCTTTGAATAGTCGGAACACATGATGAAACTTGAAGCCATCTTTATATTTTGGGTCTTGTTCAAACAATCGTTCGGCTTGCTCAATCTACAAACAGAAAGATATATAATTGTAAGTATGCTTATAAAACAAGCAAATAAAATGAACCGAAATTGAACTTAAAACAAAATACTCACCCTATCTTGGATTTGTGTCCCACTAGGATTGCGATATTCGATTTGCTTCAAGCATCCATTAAACCTCCGACAATGAGTTTCTATGAGACGGTAACGAGAGTCAAGGGACCTCATAGAGCGTTCTGGTAAATCTTTGTGTTTCTGGGAATTGTATTCATCATATATTTTTTTCCAAAAGGTTGAAGAACTTTGATCATTTGACGATATTGGATTTTGTGAAACACTAATGTAGCATCTAACAATTAAGGCATCTTCCGGTTTGGAGTATTTTGGCCCTTTTGAAGAAGACATTTTGAAAAAAATAAGATATTGAAGAAGAGTGAGAACAATAAGACTACAATAATGGAAGAAGAAATGGATATGTGTGTAGTTGCTTCTTGAAGTTTGATGTATAAATAGATAAACTAATTCACATACACACAAGTATAATTGTACCATTTGTCATACTATGCACAAGAATCCTATGCAAATTAATTTTTTATTCATTTGTCATCCTATGCTTCTTGAATACTACACCCTATGCAAAGAATCTAATGATGGAGAAGACTATGCTTCTTGAAGACCACACCCTTATGCAAAGAATCCTATGCTTCTTGAAGACTATGCTTCTTGAAAACTACACCTTATGCAAAGAATCCTATGCTTCTTGAAGACTACACCCTTTAGTTGGTCAAAGAATCATATGCTTCTTGAAGACTACACCCTATGGTTGGTCATTGTGTTGGTCAACGAATCTTATGCTTCTTGAATACTACACCCTATGCAAAGAATCTAATGATGGAGAAGACTATGCTTCTTGAAGACCACACCCTTATGCAAAGAATCCTATGCTTCTTGAAGACTATGCTTCTTGAAAAATACACCTTATGCAAAGAATCCTATGCTTCTTGAAGACTACACCCATTGGTTGGTCAAAGAATCCTATGCTTCTTGAAGACTACACCCTATGGTTGGTCATTGTGTTGGTCAAAGAATCTTATGCTTCTTGAATACTACACCCTATGCAAAGAATCTAATGATGGAGAAGACTATGCTTCTTGAAGACCACACCCTTATGCAAAGAATCCTATGCTTCTTGAAGACTATGCTTCTTGAAAACTACACCTTATGCAAAGAATCCTATGCTTCTTGAAGACCACACCCTTTGGTTGGTCAAAGAATCCTATGCTTCTTGAAGACTACACCCTATGGTTGGTCATTGTGTTGGTCAAAGAATCTTATGCTTCTTGAAGACTACACCCATTTGTCATTGTAAAGAAATAAAGTCTCACATGGCTTGTCTGAAAACGAATCCAATGAAGAAAATATTTATTTCATTTGTTCATTCATTCATCTATATAAACATGAAACTATACATCATGCCCTCCAAACTACATATTACATTCATTGTCGAATATTTCTATAATATTGCCCTCTATTATCATTCACAATGAATTATCTTCCTCCCTATAATTATGATTCGGATGAGGAAAATGCAAATTCTTCATTACCTCTTTTTGATAACACTTTGGAATCAACCACCACTCATATATTGCAAACCAACAATTTTTTTATGGCACATGCTATCTCTGCACAAAGTAGCCGACCAACTTGGGGAGGTTCTGTTCCAGGACATAGAGTAGTCTATCGTGATCGGGAGGAGGCTCATCGCACTTTGTTTCGAGATTATTTTAGTAGTAATCCAACCTACGATGAAGATACATTTCGTCGAAGGTTTCGGATTTCTATTCATAATTTCAAGCGTGTTATGCAAGCATTGGAAAATCATGATATTTTTTTCCAACAACGCCCGGATGGTCTTGGTCGACTCGGATTGTCAACATATACAAAAGGAACAGCGGCGCT